TCCTTCTCAGGTAATTTTAATGTACAAGAAATGTTTTCAGGGCATCTTACAGAACTTTATAATGCTCATAAAGTATATTGCCAGTGGTAAGTGAGAAGTACTGATGAAAACAGAAAACTCTTCTACTTTTTCAAACCCAAGAAAATCAATTAGTATTCTTTAGGCAAGCTTTGTGCAAATCACTATGTTATGTATGTATTGACTGGTTTACAACCATATATGTTATAATAAAAAGAGAACAAGCTGGAGTAGGACAAAAAGAAACTGTTCAGTGAAAAAGGAAACCCAGTGCCTCAACTCAGAAGATAGTTTTCAAATTAAATAAATAAATAAATAAATAAATATCGTATGACTGACAGGCTGAGATGAATTCACAGGAAAGACTTGATTGGCCAGTTGAGGAAAGAGAAGGGAACCTGGGTTGAGTACAGTGATCAGTAAGAAGGTAGGCCCGTCACTCAGGCTGTCTCTGTTGAATCCCTTGTTCAGCTTCATAAGAGCTGAGCAGGTTAGTACAGTACAATTAATTTCCTTATCTAAAATGAACACAATAAGTATTTCATGGACACTGAATATGTTAAACTATATCTAGCACTTAGCAAAGTGACTGGGTCATGCTAAGCTCTCAAAAAATATTAGCTGCTACTACTGTTATTGTCATTTGTGGTTTATAAGGTTCTGTTTTATATGTTATCTGTCAACAGAGGTTGGACTGTAATACATCCCAGTTTTTCCAAGACTGTCCCAGCTTATGCCTAGGAAAAATACTAACAACACCCCTTTCACTCTCACATGTGCCCCAACCTGGGAAATAAATTACATGGTTACCTTAGCAGTGAGACCCAGAATAAAGTGGAGAATACCACCCTGAAATACAAAGGTTGACAGAGCTGAGGAAAAGGTGGGATATAACTTGGGGGTGTCCAGGGGAGGCAGGCTACCATCAATGACAAGTCAGTTCCACAGAGGGAGAGCAGCTTTAATTCCATTCCAGGCAGATTTTTGACATCAGAGGTAGGGCTATGGGTCTGTTCCAAGGAAGGAGGGGAAGAGAGATTTAGCATGCTAATCCAGAGGATGATAAGACTCTCAAATGAGTAAGGGTTTCAGGGTGGGGGGGATGATGTTGACAAATCATCATGAGGAATCAGTTTACCCTGTGATTTACAGGTGAGAGCTGAAGGAATCTAGTTTTCTGGATTGATTGACCCAAAACACAGTTTGTCACTGAGAGAGATACTGCAAGAAAGATAAAGCATGGGGAGAAGATTCAGAGCTCAGTTTTAGACATGTTGAGTTCAAGATTCTTACAAAACCAACACCCAAGAGAACACTTTGCAAAGGCAGTTTTATACACCACTTTGGTACTAGGAGAGCTCCAGATGTGAGTGTCATTTGTCTGGAGATAGCAGCTTAAGCCTTGTTAGTGGCTGAGACAGGAGGAGAAAAAAGTATGTCAGGGCTAGACCATGGAAAACACCAACATTTTCATATGATGGGTGTCAGAATAAGAGACAGCAAAGGTGATAGGTGGAGAAGATCTGAAAAGGACAATGTTGTAAGGAGATACCTACTGCCACTGGTAAGTCAAGATGAGATTAGCTGAAGACCATGCATGCATATAGCCCATGGACACAGACAACAATGTAGTGAAGGTCAGGACGGGACTGGGTGGAGGGGGCAAAGGGAGGGCGAGTGGGGGACATCTGTAATAGTAAAAAAATGATGGAAAAAATATGAAGAGTCAATTGGCTGTCACTTAGCTTTGGCAACTAGACGCTCTTAAGCAACTCATGCAGAAGTCATATGTGGATAAAGTAAGACATGAGAATAGATGCCTTTGATTTATGCAAGGAAGGATGTAGCAGTATGTAGACCGACACTGTCCAATATGGTAGACACTAGCCACCTATGGCTATTTAAATTCAAATATAAATTAATCAAAGTAAGTAAAATTAAACATTAAATTCCTCAGTTACAGTAGGCACATCACAAGTACTCGATAGCCCCATGTGTCTGGTGGGCAGCGTAGGTACAGAATACTCTCATCATCACAGACAGCTAGCTCTGTTAGACAGTGTTGGCACCTGCTAAAGGTAAAGGCAAGATAGAAAATCTTGAAAGAGACTATATCAAAAGAGGGTCTCTCTTCACCTCCACAATCACTCAAGATAAGCACAAAGTAAGTGTGTTTGTAGCCCATGAATCAAGTCTTTGGCAAAGAAGTTGTGTTAGAAAAGAAAGCAGATAGGAAAGGCTCTAGGGGATGCTGGGAGGGCTAGCATCTGGAACACTGGAGTAGGGATAGTTCTTTCTCCAAAAATTATCTAAAAGAAGAAAAAAGAGAAAGTGCAAATACAACCTCCTTTGGCAAAGCTAAGAAACAAATTGCTACAGCAGCCATGGTGACTTGAGAAAATAAAGGGCTGTAAATCAAAAGGCTTTTTTTTTTTCATTATAAAAAAATTCCAATTCTTCAATATGGAATAAGAAGTGATTTTTAAAATTTCAGGTGAACAATAGTTTGAAGCAGATGCATGTTTCAACTACAGTTTCTACCTTTCATTGGGAATTATAATAGCTACAGTTTAGTAGCACCTACTTTATACATTGGACTGGGTATATTGCATTAACAATCTTCTTTAAATCCACAAAACAATTATTAAAGGTACTTGCCATCTTTTTAAAGTTCAATAACTTGCTTAAAGGCACCAAATAGGTAGTAAGTGTCCAGATTGGTTTCAGACATTAGTGTTGTGAAATAAAGATTGGGCAGTAACAACACAGGGAAAACCAGGGTGCTGCAGGTACATGGACCGGAGACCCTTAACGTGAGAGTCAGAAAGGTTTCTTGGATATGTGATGCCAAAGTAATGTCTGAAGGTTGAAGAGACAGTTGATTACTAGAGAGAGAATGTCCCAGGAAGAAGAAACAACATCTTAGATTTGGCATTCAAGGAACTGAATGTCCTTTATGCCTGGAAATTAAAAAAAGGAATATTGAGAGATGAGGTTGGGATAGAGACCATAAAACTTCTTCTATTCATATTCTTCTCCACCCATTACACTCAAGGTTAATTATATTTCCTAAATCAGGATCTTAATATGACTAAGAAAAATTGTTAAATTTCATGATTCCATGTATTTTGTACACAGAAGAGGAAAAATAACTAAATAAAACCCCTTCTGGTTTGTGGGTAAGAATGTAAGAGCTAGCACTCTAGTCCGTGTCACAAGCTATTAACAGAGATGTTCTCACAAGGCCAGGGCAACCTGTCTGTGGCCAACCCTATCGCTTTGTTAAATGTTTGTTTTCCTGACCCAATGATAGTTTCAGAGGAACTGAGTGTTCTGTATTTGGTATTTTACCTCAGATTTTAGATTTTTACTGACAGACCTGAGTAGTTGTATGCATAGTTCTGAGCCTGTGTTCCTCTCTCAATGTTAGCTTAACGACATTGATTCACATTTTAATATTATGTTGTTTCTCTGTCCCTGGAATAAGCTTGTGTTTCATTTTCCACATAAAATGTTTACAACAGCATGTTCAACTATTTATACTGAGTGTATGGGGCAGGAGAGTTTAGTAGTAATGGATTAATCTCTCTTTCATGAGAAAGAGTGCCACTGTGGCCTAACATTTGGTTGAGTCGTAATTTGCTTTGTTCATTTTACCAAGATCAGCCCTATTACTTGGCAATTATTTTCTGATTAAAGATTTCACCTGGGATAAGCTGCTTTCATGGGCAAGAATCGAAAACCTACTCTGATTCATTAACCCAAGAATATTTGTAAACATGACAGGGTCTCTTAGCATCATTTTGGAGAGATTTCCTGTCTCCTTGCACCAATTTTTAAATAACATCTTCTTCGATTAAATGTATCATGGCTAAATCAGCTATCATTTTGATTGCCTAGTGATCATAAGAAAGATTTTACAAATGTTATCCAATGGTATTGTTAATGTAATTAAAACAAGCACTAGGACTCCATAGTCATAATAATTTTATTTAGCAAGATTTAGAATAGGGCAAGAAAAAGGAAGAGTTGTGGATTACCTTTGGATTTGGCTTAGGAAAGCAGATTTGCGTTTCTATTGAGGACATACATGTTTCCCATTCCCACAGATGATGGAAATGGATTTGAAGCCATAAGTGTAAATGATGTGAATTAAAATGCTTCATGAACTTACTGTGTCATATTTTATCTGTCATAATATGTTATAAATAATTTATTTTCATGGAATTAGATTATCCTATCCAAGTTTCCTCCTTAGTATAGGAAGACATGGAATACATTTCAGTGATGAATCATTGCAACTATACTATTTTGTTAAAATCTCGTTTGTTTGAAACTGATTTAAAAACTATTCTTTTCCTAACAAAATTATTTTTCTGGAATTTGTTCATTTCTTCTTTAAAATGAACAAGTGGAGCTATTTACAGTAGCATTGCTAACATAATAACAGTAACTGGTTCTCCAATTGTCAGGTTGATTCATACCTGTTAGAGTTCATGTTTTATAGCACCTACTCAAAAATATTACTTTTAATTTTTGTGGATCATATTTTAATAGGCTTTTTCATGGTAGTCTCAAAGGGTTTGTCTGTAAAGATAACTCTTTTTCTGATGTAGCTGTTGATAATATTCTATTTTAGAAATCTGTTAATTCTATCTTCCAAATGAATGCAGCTGTACTGTGAAAACCATTCATTAAAAAGTGCCGTACAATCGTATATGCATTATTTGTTTTCTACTAAACTGCTAATAGAGGTTATCCAGTGTGGTTGGCTCCTGGGAAAACAGAAAGAAATAGGTGGTATATGAAATGAAATGTGAAGCATATTATTTTTTCATTTTCTGGAAAATCAACTATTTTCCCCCTTCAAGCTTGAAAGTGTGAGAGCAGCCTTCTCTTTCACTTATTTTTAAGGCAAAAAATTTATAAATTTTGTAATTTTATCAACCCTCCACCCCTTATCTCTTCTCTTTTTTCCACAGGTGATTTCTATTCACTGCTTTCCAAGCTGCTAGGAGAAAGGGAAGATGTTGTTCATGTGCACAAATATAATCCTACAGAAAAGGCAGACTCAGAGTCAGAGCTGGTAGCTGAGATTGCAAATGTAGTCCAAAAGAAGGACCTTGGTCGATCTGATGCAAGAGAGAGTGCAGAACATGAGGAGAGGGGCAATGCTATTCTTGTCAGAGACAGAATTCACAAATTTCACAGACTAGAATCTACTTTGAGGCCAGCAGAGAGCAGAGCATTCTCATTACAGCAGCCCCTACCTGGTGAAGGCACCTGGGAATCAGAACACACAGGAGGTGCGTTTGGGGCTTTTTGAAGAATAAAATATGAAATGCTGCAATCCACATTAGCAAAATCTGAAGGGAATAAAAATCAATGGGTGAAAAAACTCATCAATAAAAAGGACCATTAGAAAAAGTATTACTCAGATTTGGTTTGTTTGGGAATAGGACATTGGTTTGAGGAGTATTTCTTTGTGTTTTGATCCAATACAACATAAATTCAGTTTCCATTCAATTGGTGATCCAAAATTACCAGGACCAAAAACACTTGGATCATGTTGGGGATGGTAGCACATGAAATTCAGAACAACAAATTCCTATTATATCAACATTATCCATTTTTGCTCCATGGAAAGAAACTGAAAATTCAAAATGTGATAAGTAAACTCCTAGTGTGTGAAATACTTGTACGCTACCTTCTTAAGGTATTTGCCTCTCTCTCAAAGGAATCTTATACTTTTCATCCAAATGACTTGTACATTGTAACTATTTTTATGACTTTGATTTCTTAAGTTCCATCATTAATTACTATCTTAATTGGAAACTTGAGTAGTTATTTCTGAAGGGACCTCCAGCAAGTGAGTAGCTATCAGATTTATCTTTATTTCTAAGCATTATTGGCTTCCATAATTAGAGGACAATATGTTATTCCCTTCAGGTTTCTCTACCAGCAAGCTATGGATGCTTCATCTTTGTCTTTAATTGTATTGTGGCCTCTGTGATATTGATTGTGTTTCATATTACTTGCTAATGTGGAAAGCCAGATAACACAGCATGTGGGGACAATCTCCAAAAAAGTAACTGATAGTTGGGCATGGCAGTGGTCCGTGCATGGGCCGGAAAGGCATAGGCTGCCAGCTTAATGTTTTCAATACAGCTTTGCAGGGAGCTATAAATTATTCAACACCCAGCTGATTTTTACTTATAATTGAAAAAATTAGCATGCAGTGTCTTTTGCTTACATGGAAGTTTCGAGTATTGTCCATTGGGATTGGCATAATGGTCTCTGTGATATGTTAACTAGAACCCAGATTTTTATCTCTTCATATTTAACCAGCATTAGCCCTCCTCTATCTAACTCCTTCTAAATTTATCTAATCAAACTGTGTTTCTCAAGACCCCCTTGCATCAGAATCTATAGTGCTTATGAAAAACCTAGACTCCAGAATCCTTCCAAAGAACAATGAATTACATCCCTTAAGGATGCCTAGAAATCAGCAGTGTATTATGACCCTTTCTGTTTTATAAACAGACTGAGGTGTCTGTCTGAACCTGGATATTAAGGACAGTAAATTATAATACAAACAACATGGAAATAAAAGGCAAAAGGGCCTCTTTGGTGAAAATATAATTCTTTTCAAGTGTTAAATGTTAGAGTCTCAGCATGCTTTATTCCATGACTTGTGTTTGTTTGTTACTCTTGGATTCGAAATAATATCATGGTCATTTGCAGGCATAGTAAGTGTCAGTGTAAAAGCCATAGTTTGGCTTAAGACGTTATATTCCTGAAGCTACTTAGTTTATCTAAGGAAGAAGTGCTTAAATACCCAAAATACATTTACTTTCCAAATTTCTTCATACTTTCCAAGGTGGACAAATGGCAGGTCCCAGGAGAAAAATGTTTCTGTATGATCTGGTTCAGGAAGTTTCCTTTCATTTTAAATATGTGGGTGAATATCAGTGAAGTAAATAAAATAATGAGTTTTATAGAATAGTAATGTACAGCAAAATCCTAAATCTAGAAAGGAAATATGCATGTGTTTCCTTTGTGAAATGATTTATTCTAGTGTTATTTCACTACTCTGATTCAAAAACTTTTCCAAAACTAAATGCAAAATAGAAAAACTCATATTTAGGTAACCTATTTTTCTAAAGTCTTTTTCTTTTCAAGTCTCTCTCTGTTTACCATTAACACAATGTAATGCTAACTTTAATTCAAGATGTCCCATTCCTTGTGTAAGCCAGAAAAAGGCCTGTCCTCAGGAAGTTTTCATTTGCAAAAAAAGAAAGTAGAAAGTTATTAGCATTAATGCCCTAATAAAATATATTAGTAGTCTGATTCATGCATATTCCCCAGGGTATGAGCAATGAGAATAAGTAATGGATGATTTTCCATTGTTTTTCTCATATTCTTTTGTTACTCCAGGCAAAGCTGAGAATGGGACCCTAATGGTCCAGAATTAACTGTCCCCCTGAGTGCCCACTTTGCTATAAGGAATTCTTTTAGCTGCAAAGAAGAAAGTAGCTTTTCATTTGACAGCATTACTAAGACAAAGATGTAAAGGCTACTGTGTTACTTGATATTATGGCTCACATTCATTACATGTATCTTTGATTTTCACATGAAAGAACGGAAGCCTAGAGAAGTGAACGTATTTGAATGAGGTCACAGAGTCCAAATTTCAAACTTGGACTTTATGACTTCTAATGTGCACATTCTAGTTCTTTACACTTCAGTACAGTTGTGCTCACTCAAAGCAGGACTGACTCACTTGCCTAATTTAGATGCATCTACCTAGGGCTCAGGATCCTCACTGCTCAGAAGCTAAGACTTCCACTCAGGACGCTGTTTTGGTGTCCTCAGTCCGTGGCACTAGCGCAGCCCAATACAGTAGCATTTTCATTGACCTGCCTAGATTTTTGAACGGCAGTATCGTGATGGATCCCATTAAGCTGATTTGAGGGTTCAAAGGTGAAATTATTGGATTTGGCTGTGTATGGTAGGCCCAGGACTACCTGGATGTTTCAAAGGCAGCAGCATTTTATGGACCTTCAGATCCACAGTTTCACTTGGTTCCATACTCTGGCAACTGCATTGAAAGTTGAGTTTTCCACCTCATTGTTGGTTGAGTATTAATGGGCATCAAGATTCATGAAGAGCACCATAGAGTGACTTCTTCAGCTTTGCAGAGCTGAGAAGGTTCTGGCATTCCTAGGAACAAGATAGCTAAGTCCTATGTTTTCAATGTGTTTCTATGAATGCAGCCAATCACAAAGACAGCCCCCTTTTTGAGGTCTTATCTTCATGACTGTTCGTGAGGTTCAGAGTCTATTCTGAAAACCCTCCTCCTAACAATTGTGAAAACAGTATTAAAAACAGAGAAATTTCCTGAACAGGCTCAGCTAGACGAGACAGGGGTTTCTAAGTGCAAAGTAGTAGCTGGCACCTCCCCTGCCACACATGCTCATGAGCACACAGTACAGCTTGCCCTCCCCCAGCCCAGTAGTTCTCCATTTGTCTAAAAAAAAATTGAGAACCACCCCATGGAGGTAGCATGAAGCAGAACACATCAGACTCGAGCCTGAGTGCCTGGCTTTGAATCCCAGGTATGCCATTTATTATATGGTCCCTAGGCAAATAATGCATGCAAAGTGCTTTGAACAGTTTCTGGCACATAGAAAACATTTAATATATCTTCTAATACTTTAACAATAATTATGATTATTATTGCTACCATTAATGTCATCTTGGATGAAAATTTCAAAAATTTAAACACCAAAGTAGTGGAACTAAATAGTAATTACTTTCACTTAAGCAGCATCTATGAGAGAATTTTCTTGTTATGTGTAGGAAAGCTGCAAAATTTGGCACTCTAATTTGATAAATTATGAAAATGACTTGGCAGGGTTCTATCATAATGGAAGTTTATGGCTCTTCAAATCTCTGATTACTTATATTGATCTGCCTTGATATTTGCCTGTGATATATGATGTGCAGTGTGAAAATATTCAACTTGGTAAATTGAGAAGCAAATGCATTCCATTTTATACCTAACATAGTTTTGGTTTCCACCATTAGTTTGATATCTATACTGAGACAGCACTAATAGAATAGGAAAGAAATGTTAGATGTCTTTATTCTAGTTGCCTTCTGGAAACTAGACTCATTGAATAATACATTAAAAACTACAGTAGCTATTCTCCTGGCAAGTTGGATTGAACTACTATTTGCCAGCATATGGAATCCTGACTCAGCATATATGGCATACCACTAGACATCTAAAACTACATTTGTGTTTGTGTAATGCTTTCCAAAGGGTAAGAGACTCACAGAGTCTTAAAGTATTCTATGATACATTTAGTTTTATTTCTATGAACAACTTTTAGTTAACTCAGAGTCCATCCTTTTAACGTATTTCAGCTATCTGCTTACCTCTAGGTTCAAGGCTTACAGTATTTCCAGGGTAAAATAAGACATTCAATTGGCTGATTTATAACCTCTGGAGGGGAGGAGAGTAATAAAAACAAGCACATGCATAGCCCTTACTATGAGCCAGGCTAAGTGTTTTAGATGCATTAATTCATTTCATCCTTGTAACAAGAATCCTATTTATAACCCATCTACAGAGGAAGAGACTGAGGCATAGAAAGGTTACAACTCAAGGAACCAAGATTCAAAGTCAAGCAGACTTGCTCCAAGTCTTGGTTTTTAATCACTTTGTTATTCTGCCTCTCACAATAAAATAAAAATAACAATATATGGATGATAGATGGGTGGATGGTAGACAGACAGACAGACAGACAGATAGATAGTACATAGATAGGAAGATGGCTGCCTATCTTTTCTAATCATCTCATTATCTCATCTACAATCATAATAACTGTAATTGTATGTTACCTTGGGTCATGCATTCTCAATCATTATCCAAACAAATTGACCAAGGTGATCTCATTTGCAAAAAGATGATCTCATTTTCTCATTTAAAAAGAAAATAAATAGGGGCTTAATGCTTTTAAGCCCCTAGTTGTATCTTTACTCTCTTCCTCACTTCAGTCCCTTTAAATGAAACATTATAATTAGTTCTTGTTTTCTTTCTCATGTGGGTATAAATATTTCTCCTGTAATTTTAGTTAATTATAGTTATTGCTAGCACCTCCGATGAATAACAACCTCTGACCAAAATAAAGCATCTTTTCCTCACGAGATGAGAATTTGCAAGTGTAGAAAAAGCCATAGCCACCTTTTTTCTTGTTGCTGAGATCTCCCAATGATTTCATCGGGGTCTTTTTCTTAAGATTAAATATGAAGATCCTCATTATGTTCAGGCTGAGTCATTCTTCTGGGTTTAAAAAATATTTTTCCTCTACTTTATCTAATTCTGTTGGTTCTTATGTAACACAGATAAATGAATACCCTTTAAGTGCTTATTAATAATTTCATATGAAAGCATTGATCATTAACATTAATTTCTGTCTTGGAAAGGTATAATTCATTAATCCCTTTAGTGATTTGTTAATACAATCTTAATAGTAATGTTTAGCCTTTTTCTGAAAGTAGTAACTTTTTTTCTAAATATATGGTAGAATATGAGGTTGCACATTTACCTTTATTTATAATAAATTTGAGTTCTTCTGAAATATTACTATTCTTTGACATCTGAATTTAGAGCAGCTGACATTTGGGAATAGTGTCCCAAGGTCATATGTAAGAAATTTGTATTTAATTTTCAAATTAAAACTATAAGTCTATAGAATTAATTAATCATGTACTGAATCACTTCTTAAATAAAGAAAAGCTAAGAGTCTGAACTCAGAATTTTGATTTCTCTGTGATTGATAATATTAAGTTTAAGTTAGATGCCCAAAGATATTTTATCATACAATTTCTTTAATAAGGATTTGAGATTTTCCTTCATTGGAGAAATTTTATTATTAATAGATAATTATTAGAAAATAACCATCCTTAATATTGATGCTTGAAGTCTGTCCCAAACCAATAGTTCCTTTTCTATGAAATGAGAAAATGACCTGGGATAAGCCAGTATGTTCTAGCCTGTGATTCCCATATACGGATGGGCAGGGACTGGGAAAACATCAGAATCAATTCCATCTATACACCACTAGTCCTAAATGAGTGCCTTGATTCTTGATCATTTAGTCTTGAAGTGAACGAACAGCTTTTAACTACCTGATAATAAAAATGACAGTGACACTAGAAGTAAAAACATTGATTAACTGAGCTAATGTTCACAGAAGAGAACATGAATTCAGTTCTCCTTTAACCATTGTAGAATTTCTCATTAACACAAAGACCTAGATCCTACAGGTTTTGTGGTCTTGGCTAGGTAATCTTAATAAATGTGCAATTATATTTTAATGAAATTAAAAATAATTTAATTTCTCCATGCAAAAATGTTCTTTTTTGTATTGAGTCAGTTCTTCTTTGCACTGACTCAGCACTAAAAGAGCTGATTTGCTCAGTGTTAGTGCTGTTATACACTTCCTCATGTACCATATTTACTGTTTCAAAAATTCACCAAAAGTTTATGTTTTAACAAATGTGTACATGGTTACACATTTCTCCTTGAAAATTTCCAACCAGAAAGGATTCTTATGTGTGCCAAAATAGTTTGTTAGCATCCTATTGGTCAATGATTTTTGTAGACTTCCAAGCACTTATCAGTCTAAAGTCAATGATAATTGGGATCATTGAATGTTAAAGTTCTTTACACAGTACTTCCAATATTTTGTTTAAATCACATTTGATATCAGAACAATGTACTAATTTGGACATTGCATATTCTCTATCAGAATTACTATCTCTGCACCTGCATGAGCACCGAGCTTCCAGCACCTGTTGGTGAAACACTGAATAGAAAGGTTCTAGGAACCATAGTATTTGTTTATTGTATTTAATAAAAAATAATTAGCCAATTAGCATTTCTACTGAGTCTTTTCACAGTGTCATTAGTGTAGTGCTAGGGAGAAAAGGGGTAGTGCCACTTAATCATAAGGTTATAAGGCTGTTTAAATGCTAGTTGACAACATAAACAAGAAAGTCTAGAGTGTGAGTTCAGGATAGAGCATTTATTAAGCCATTGCTGTGGGCCAGGCCCTGTGCAAGCCATGGTGACAAAACAGTGAATAAGACATGATCCCTGCCTTCAAGAAATTCCATCTAGTTGTCGTGCTACTGGGCTTTGAGAATCTCATGAAAGCAACTGGCTATTTATATTGTCATGAGGTTCAAGGTTCTCTTGGAACCCATCCAGAATCTTCAGGAGCTGGTAAATAAGTATAGAATGATGACCCCAAATAGACAAGGTGTAACTGAGATGAGAATGAATGAAGTAAACCCTGAAATTCAAGCAACTTTAAAATATCTTAAAACATTTTCTTGGGGGAATGATATATCCATCTGTTGATCCATCTAGACATCTCTAATTATCATTCTTCTGCCCTATTTCCATAGTTCACTTTCATAAACACAGTTTTAATTATGTCACACCATGCTTAGAAACCTTCAGTGGTTTCCAGTGGCCTGTAGCAGGCAACTTTTTTCCTATTATGACAAGCTTGATAGATGATGAATGCTATTCATCTGAGCAGCCCCTTTCACTTCTAGTGCTGTGCCCAGAATTGTCTGCAAAGTTAGAAATGCCGGCTCTAACTCTGCCCCACTTCTCTCCAAAACAAGAAGGCGTATCAAAGCATGTATGAGTGAGAATGACATTCTCATGTGCTCTAATATATTTCAAAAGTAAATTATCCCCAAACTCTGTGCTTTACTGCTACTAGTAAGATTTTTGCAGTGTGCCTCAAAATTAATCATTGTATAGAGCAAGACACCACAGCTCAGAATGCCATTCACTCATTTTTAAACCCATATTTTTTCATGTTGCATACCTCTGGGTCTCTTAACCCTGCCTCCTATTTCCCTGTTCCCATCTGATATGCACAAGTATCCTTTCCCTATTATTTAAAGATCTTGAAGCAGATTCTTCAATTATGAACATCCTCTGTTTTGATCTTTCTGATCTAAATATTCTCTGCCCACTACTCAGTGAACCCTCCCTGTACCTGCAAGTGTAAACACAAATGTTTCTTCCTCTGAGAAGCCTCCCGGGTCAAGCCTTAACCCTACCCTCTCCCGACCACGCCTCAGGAAGGACCTTTCCTACATTCCTGCCCTATGTTGTGCCACAAGTATTTGTTTTCTGTTTTTTTTTCTCATTTTCTAGTTCCTAAAAGCCAAAAACGAAGTCTTATTTCTTTGTGTTTCCAAAATCTAGCATAATGCCTCACCTAATTAATACACTTGGAGAATATTTGTTGAAGATGCTTCAGCAAAGCTTGTAGGCAGAACTGATCGAGCATCCTATTGATTGTGCTATGTTTTGTTAATTTTTATGAAAGAAAAAAGATGAATGTGCAAAGGTAAAAATATTGTGAGTGAAAAAGTACTATTTTTATATAGTTGAGAGAATTATTTTAAAACATTTATTCTCACACTGGCGTCCTTTCAAGTTTTCAGAAATTTCCCTTTCTTCCTCATCTGTAAAGCTTACCTTTGAGATTTTACTGTGAGCTGCTGCATCCTCCACAGGGTGGGGAGGATAAATGAGGCTCAAATTGCTTCTTTTCTACTTCTCTGCATCTCTGTTGAAGCATTTGAGAGGGGAAGGAATATTGACACTGATACAACAGATTTCAAAAATGTTCATAACTCTACACCCTTAGTGTAGCTACTCCACACATTACAACTCTTTATTTGTGAACATGTTTATAAAAGGGATTAACACTAATGGACCCAGGTATTCTCTATAGATGTATTCTGATAAGAAATAACAATGACCTTGGAGGTCGTTCAATCACAGAATTCCTGTGATTTTTCATTTATATTCGGAAGCAGTGAAATATAAACAGTGAAAGAGAATGTCTCCCCACTCCTATTTCTATAGGAACACTGAAGTTAGGACAACTAAAACTGGTATCTTAAATAGTTCCTTGTACAAAGGATATTCAGTGATGGTTTATTGTAGGATCTAACGTATAGTGAACATTTATACAGTAGTTAACTGAGAGAGAGAAAGAGAGAGAATATTTATTGTCCATGCCTGCTATTTATTTATAACATTTAAAAGCTTTATATTGAATGATGCCATCCACGTTGCCATATTTTCCAAAGGTACTAATTTAAAATAGTAATCTTTTTAAGAAAAAGGTAGTCTCACATTTGTTCTTAATGACCTGAAGGTAAGCTGGTTTTATAGGCATCTTATGAACAGGAAAAGAGAACATGTAATTCCCACACAAGTTCATAGTCACTTATGTTATTTCACAACTGAAGAAGCTACTTGGCATGTGCATGTGGAATATCATATTTAGAGCATGGCTTGATTTTCTTTTATTTGCATCTAGTGATATACTGCCTGAGTATGTGAATGTTCGTGAGGTAATACTAGCTTTCTTGCTTACACTAAATGAATGGATTTATCTTGTAGATTTCCATGTAGAAGAGGCACTGGATTGGCCTGGAGTATACTTGCTACCAGGCCAGGTTTCTGGGGTGGCTCTGGACCCTAAGAATAACTTGGTGATTTTCCACAGAGGTAATCATGTCTGGGATATAAAGTAAGTAATATTTTTCCTTGAAAGAGTAAATGAAAATAAAAAGAGTATGCATCACTTTTTGTTAAACTAACAATAGTAGTGAAAAGTTATTTGACTATAATAAAGCACATTGTTGTTTCCAGGTACTAGGTGCAGACTATTCTAAGGCCATTGGACTTTCCCCTTTCCTTCCGGCTGCTCCACAGCAGGGGTAACAAGGAGCCTTCTGGAACTTGTAGTTGCAGCAGTTTGGCCACCACATATGTAGCAATAATTACCACCTTGTCCTTTATGTTTTTATACAGATTAATTTTATTACTTGAATTTGTTCTTTTCATGAGCACCGAAGACTTACGAATCACACCAGGACTGCCTTATTCCCTCTATGTTTCTCTTACCAACCATTTCTAGCTTCCCCTACTTTCCTATAGGGATTTTGGTTCAAAATGTCTAACATTTACTGAGTGTTTACTGTGGGTCTGCCATTGTTCTCAATTTTTATATAAATTGCCTCACAATACTTAGACACTGTTATTTTCTTTTTTTAAGAAAATAAAAATTTTTAAAGATTTTATTCACTTATTTTTAGAGAGGGGAAGGGAGGGAGAGAGGGACAGAAGCAGCAATGTGTGGTTGCTTCTCACACGCCCCTAACTGGGAACCTGGCCTGCAACCCAGGCATGTGCCCTGACTGGGAATCGAACTGGCGACCCTTTGGTTTCACAGACTGGCACTCAATCCACTGAGCCACACCAGCCAGGGCTAGACAGTGTTATTTTCATCATCATTCACATTTTTCAAATAAAGAAGCTGAAAGAAGGTAAGTATTTTGCCCCAACTCTCACAGTTTCCTGTGGGAAAGCAGGCTTCCATGCATTTTCATCTGATTCTAGAGCTGGCCCACTTACTCACTTTGAGATACCACCTTTTATGGGGTCATAAGTACATTTATATGACTATATTTTTAAAAGATTGCCCCCAGATTTAGCTGGTTATTTGAATTCTCCTGAGTAATGAATACCTATTTATTCATTTGTTTTATCACAAATTTATATATGAAGGTAAATTTTATAATATCTTATCAGTTAAGTATGATCAGTCTCCTCTTTTCAAGTGTACAGCTATAATGCTTGGAAAATTCAGGATCTACACATACAGTTCAATTGTTTTTTCCCTTCATTTTCAGAGATGTTGATTAAACTTATGCTAAACCTGCACTGCCATATATATGTGTGTGTGTGTGTGTGTGTGTGTGTGTGTGTGTGTGTGTGTGTATATATGCAGTTGAAGGTGGAATTCAATCAGCTTTTCAAAATAGACTGGCAGCTTTGTTACAGTTTAATTGTCCTTTCCAGTTGACACACTAGAAAATGGAACTGAAGAAAGAGATCACTTTGGAGTTCAAAGGAAACAATCAAACTCAATATTCCTATTCATACATCTCTGTTACATCGTCTTAGTCATTATTGAACATCTAATGGTATTTTAACGAGTGCTTTTAAAAGCAAACTATTACTATTCATTGTAGCATATTCTTCATTTTAATGAATATTGCCACATTTTCTGCATGGATTTCTAGCCTCATTTTACCAGACAAGAAAATTGCAGCATCATTTTCTCCCATTGATGCTGTTTCAGCTGGCTAAAGCTGAATTGGACAAAGTCCAATTTTCCATTTTAATGTCATATTTATTCTGAGTAAACAGCAGAGGCTGGAATAGTTTAATAGCAAAAGGGGTCAGTAAAAGGCAGGTTCAGGTAGAAGATGACACAAGACTCTGAAATGAGAGCCACATAGGAACATTTTCTGTGACTTATAGGTCCTAACTGAAAAACGGCTTCTCCTGGCATCCAGCTTTCATCTAGATAACCAGTACCATGTGTAAATACATTCCAGGTTCATTGCAGAAGCTCTGGTATGCTCACCCTGATAAATGGCACCAACAAAGGGGCGTTGTTAAAAATGCAAGATTTCTTCAGAGCAGATGTGCTGATTCAACTCATTAAATCTCTTCTTTTCTTCTTCATCTTTGCCTTTCAAACATAAGAACATTTGTTACCTCTTTTCTTCTGCCTCTCCTGTATTGCCAGTTGGCCTCTAGTACCCTCTGCAGTCTGTGGTTGTGAGGACATTCTCTTCTAGCACCCAGATCTCTGCTTTCAACACTGTCTGCTCTATTATTCATGAAGAGATTTAGAAATGGGTTACAGTTAGTTATTTTTTTTTAGAAAAATAGATTCAGATTTGTGGGCTCTGCTTTTGGTACAGTCATGCATGATCATCTTTCCTACACACATAAGTCACATTATATAAAATAAACAGAGTATATAGTTTTTCTTCTCCCTCATTCAGTATCCAAGGATTGTATCGAGAAAAAAGCACCTTCCTGTAGAATTTATGATGGGTTGGTGAGAGACCATGGAAAGTAAGGATTGCATGGAAGTTGCATTCCTATTGCTACCAGTACTTGGGTACAGTAGTGAGAAATCCTGAATTAATTTTTCTTGGAATCTTTCCTATCCTGATATTTCTTATGTTCATAAAATCATAGGTTCTATAAGGTGAGGGCTTGCTCTAAATCAAACCTAAGCACTCTATATCTCCCAATTTTTGATAATTATTCTTTCAGTATTAGTGTTTGGAATTGTTAATAACCTCTAATTATATACTTAGTACCCAAACCTCCTTTGACATCATCACATCATCTGACTTTATAAGTACTATTACTACTCTTCAATATACGCGATATCCCTGATCAGCCCTAATCTACTCCATAACCATGCTAAATAAGCATGGCATCCAAAATAATAACCATCATCATCATCCACTTAACCTCCTGAAAGATGATCGTCACTCCCTTTCTTGATTTCATTTCCATTTTCCTTCCACTCTGTCCCCTACTTCAATATGGCTACTTTAAGAAGCTCCTTCTAGCTGAAACAGAAAAGGCCTGTTACCAGCAGGGTGTAATGAAATTTTAAAGAGCCTCTTGTCTGTGCTGGTGTTAGGGCAGCATGGAAGCTAGAACTCTTTAAAGTTTAAATGCATCCCAGCAGGAGCTGGGTAGCTCCTGGCTCAGTAACAGCTGTCCCTGGGTCTCTGCCTTAAAATCACCACCATTGTCAAAGGCTCACTTCTTGGCCTTGCTTTTATTTATCTCAGCTGTGGTCGAGATTCTACTGTGCAGGACTCCCATCACATACCCACTAAACATAACCATGGGTTTTATCCCTAATTTTTAGGTGTTAAAAGTTGTTTCATTTATATCTTTTATCATTTCTTCACATGGAGTAGAAAGAGATCGTGGAAGTTCTATCACTTGCATTTCTTTCTTTTACCAATAAGAAAGAACACTCAACACCCAATAGCTTCGGAAAAGAGGAAATTTATTAGTTTGTATAAATGAGAACTTCAAGGGTATCATGGGCCAATGACATCACTGGGATCCATTTTTTAACGCACTTTCTACTGACTGGCTCCACTTTAGGCTCTGATTAATCCCCTCCCCTCTTGCTGTTTCAGAACCCATTGCAATACCAGTCTCAAAGAAGAGGCAGTCTATGTATGTCCCTGTTAAGCCAATAGAAAATTCTTACATTGAGTCTTTGGCATTCTTCAGTCTGACTTGGGTCGTAGCTCTCACTCATTCCTAAACCAGTCATTGTGGGCAGAGGAATAAAATCTATTCTTTGGCTTAGCCTCAGTTTTTTGTTCTAACCCTGGAATGTGGGAGTAGAGTTGACATCAGGCAGGGGGGAAAATGGGCTGAGAGACAGGTTCAAACTGTTGGATCAACTAAAGAAAAACTGAGATTTCATTAGCACAAAATAGTGCAGTAAACATTGGGCAGAATAACAAATGTTCACCAGAGAGCTCATCTCCAGCTCCCTACCTAATGCAGACACCTCTTTATAAAATGTCTACAGTCATCCAGTGCTTGAATTCTTTCAGCACCAAGAAATTCCCTAGATTGGAGACATGTTTTTCAATTATGGGACTCATCTAAATGTTATGAAGTTCTTCATTATGTTAATCTCAAACCTGAGTCCATAAGTTCACCCTATGACAGCCTGATGCATAGTGAATTTATTCCCATTTTTCCATGTCAATTACTTGCCTATATGAAGGAAGCCCTATCTTCCCCACACTAAATATTCCCCAGGCCCTGAACCAATCTTGATGCTAACATGATATTTTCATGTGAAAGTGCTCTGGTTTCTCAGCCCTTTAAAGTGTTTGGTTAAGAAGTGGCTACAGTACCTCACTCATGTATTATATTATCTGATCTGCAATACAATTGCTTTTCTTGATGTGTATTCTAGATATCAATTAGTATACAAAGACTGTATGCACTTTTTTTCAGTGGTAATATCACTTTGTTGCCTTGTGTTAAATTAGTAATGTACTAAGATCTCCAAATATATTTCATTAAATTGTGCTCAAATTTTTACCAGAACTTAATACTCATGCAGTGTTTTTAAATTCAGGACTTTATTCCAATTATATTTCACTTCATTAGATTTCACATTGCTTCAATTTTCAGATATCATTTTATTCTTAATTAACCAGAGAATGAGTTATCCCTCCTCGCCTTGTTTGTATTAGGTCTGTTCGATGAACATGTCTTTGATGTCTTCATAAATGGTATTTATAAAATGTGAATAGTTGAATGGTTGGTTAAGCAAGTTCCCTTCTTAGAGGTATAGTCTTCTGGGAATCTTCTTCCACTTGCTCCTCTAATAGCTCACAAACCTCTCCATTAGTGCCTTATGGAATTTTGCCAAGATCTATTGTTTCAGAAATCTATCTGCTTCCTAACTTTCAGAAAAATTAGTTCAAGATTTGCCTCATAGTTTTCTGGAGCTTCATATAAGCTGTTCTCTTGAGTTTCTGCTTCTACATCTGAAAATCCTTTCATACCTTAAGAATTAATTGGGCCTGGAAAACAGTACCCAGAGTGGCTGTAACTTCATATCTGAGAGAAAAGGTGTAAGGAATTCTACAAAAGCAATATTTCCAT